TGTGTAAATGTGCATACCCGTTTTTTGGTCCATGATTAAATAAGAATGATCAAAATTCTTTTCATTTTTCCAGTTACTTGTACCTATCAACTCTTCAATCATAGATGAGCCTTCTTGTTTTACTCGTTTCAAAATTACGAGAGCACTTGTTTTTTAACAAAATCAGTGTAGCTAAAGCTAATCATAATAACAGGAGCATAACTCAACTGAAAGAAGGGCATTTAGTTCTTATCTCTTGGTGGAATGGTTTGCAGACTACACCGTACTGAAATGCAGAAGGGTTTTTCCCAGCTGAAAGGCATGATCCTCACTGTTGAAGAGACAGGAATGGCATCGAGCTTCCCTTGAAAATCCGTCTCAATTATGGCTTAAAATTACCAGTTTTTCCCTATTTAGATACGACGGGCATTCCATGAATGTCATCATGCACTCTGGCCGTAGCCAACACCAGCCTGCAATTGCACTTCAAACCATATTGTTCTAAACCAAAGACCAGCATCAGATTTCTTTCGAGACTCAAAAAAAAAAAAACAGTACAGGGGGCAAAAACATGAAGTAAAAAAAAAGAAAAAGGCTTTCATTTATGCCAATTGAACAGTGACATATGCTGTTAGTACTTAACATGAACTCTGTGTTGCTTAGAGGGCCCATTACATACATTCAACATTTCAAATACAACATAGGAACAGACGGCCAATTTCACTTCTATCCGGTTGTTTCCGTTTCAATTTCTTAGTGGACATGGCAGAACCAACAAACAGTCACATTTACCCATGTCCATGATGATTAGGATACAGCAGCTTTCGGTAAGTATTTTTTGGATCGTCGAAGCGGAAAAACCTCCCCGAATTATACAGCAATTATCTTAGAATATCTGAAAAAACAAACTAGTTGATCCATCACCATACGATCTGAGATCTGCAGGTTTAACCAATGCCCTGCACAAGGGACACGTTCTTTCCCTCTCAAACCTGGAAAACACAAGTGGGCATTCATCCAGATAGTATATGACTAAACTGAACAGAAAAAGGCAAAAAAAAAAACACGCAACAAAGTGCAAACAGAAACTGAAGTTCTTGATGCAGAATCCATCTGCAGAAAATAACAGATTAACACAACATAAAAAGCTAAGCAACAATAAACTAACCACTCTGATACACAATCTTCACAAAAAATGTGTTTACAACGAAGTAGGATAGGAGCATGCATCTTCTCCTGGCAGATAGCACAGAGGTCCCCAGCTGCATTCACCTACATCAGATACATGACAAGTTAAAACAAACATTAATTTCATAAAAGTTAGCAATCACTCTACAAAACACCTTAAAGACCTTTCAAATCTCAACCAATGAATTACAGCAAAAAAGCTACACTGTCCTTTCAAAAATTCAACACAAATCATCTCAAAGGGAAGACAATAAACATTAAGCAATTACAGGTCCAGAACCCTGAATAGGTGTAAACTATGGAGAAAAATGAGTGGTGAAAATATTGAAAACGAACAGGAAATCATGGACCAGTTGTGATGTGAAAGATACTATAGATTGGTTAAAGTTATAAAAAAGAAATCCATGCATCTAGTAAGCACAAACTAGTAAGAAGGGCTTTGCTTCATTCATTTGGTTATACATGTGAAATCAAAGACTTGAGTCAATTTGGTTCTTCAAACACAACACTCCAGAAGACAGCTATTTTCACCACAATTTTTTTTTCTGATAGAAAACTTTAAATAAATGCACAAATATGACGTGCAATTGTAGCCCTAAAAGATCAATTCAAACAGAAAGCAACTCTTCCCTCACTCCTAGGCCCAAATCTGAGATCAACTGGGAAAATAAATGTTCAAGACTACCGAGGCAAAATAAAGACATCTTTCCTCCAATGTAAACCCCCCAGTGGGAAAAAAAAAAGACAGAGAGAAAGAGCATGTTTAATAAGCACCAAATGAAACTATTAGTATGTCAGGGGAAGTCAACCATTTGCAAAGTTTTATAACAGAGAAGATGAAAAATACCAAAAATAACAAACTATCATCAATTTGTCATCAATGTTGCTCCAACAGACAAGATTCTCTTTCTGGTTAAAACATGTTCTTTAAAAAGCTTTCCTCATTTTCTGCAACAAACCCTCAATCCTTTCTCAGAGTCTCAGTCATTTCCTTTTTCTTCCCTTTCTCTCAACATAATGTTCTCAATTTCCTCATTTGCAATAAATATCAATAAGAGCATTTTTTTGGTAAGTAACTATAGCTTGCAAGCAAACAGGCACCTAAAATTGAACTATATATACACATAATATTCGTGTTAACCAAAACCAGAATGAAATCCAGACTACCTGCTCCAATGTCGCATAAGCACCATAATGTACCTCTTTACGTGATAATGCTTTCAATGCAGCAAAGAAGGATTGCACCTGAAATTTGCCAGCCATGTAAGAGACATAAAAGCTTAGGTAGAAAGAGCCATAAGCTGCTTGACTAGCCAGAAAATCCATTTTTTACATCAAAAGTAGATTACTAATGAATCAAAAAGAGCTTAAACAATATATATTCATAGAAAAACATACCTTCTCAACAACAGATGTGAGCTTGAAGGTTAAGTACAACCCTGTCATTAGTGACGAAAAGAGGCTTCCATAGTCTTTGTTTAAGAAGAAACGATACCAAACTGGAGTTGGTAATAAGGCTCGGTAAAGTAGCATCATATACTCAACCAATGTCAGCATTTGACCCTGGGAATGTGTACTTCTTTAGTCAGTATAAAGTGGGAGATAACACACACACACACACACACACACACACACATAGGAGATAACATAGTAGTAGACTGCTATTTCACTGTGGTTGCAGTGACCACAACTACTGTAAGCCACTATATAGGTGAGAATGAGATTTCCAACTATGTAGGTTTTTTATATGGGGTGATCACCTCAAAATCAATGGTGATCTGCACTCAGTAATTAGATCACTGTATTTGATAAGAATTTGGTGACCCTATTTGGCAGTCATCATGAATCACCAAGAGTGATTAGATCACTACCTTGAGCAGTCATCAAGTTCCCATCCAAAAGGATGGATGACAAACCCATCTCCTCCTCCAAATCTTTCTTCCCTCTTTTTCTTCTTTTGTTTCATCCATCAAGCTCGCCGCAAATTGGGCCGAGTTTCTCTCTACTATGGTGTAGGTTTATTCTTTTTACTTTCCAAATTCTTTCTCCATGTTCTTCAGTGCAACTGAGCTCTCATCATTGTCTCTTCTTCTTCATGGCTGCAAGGCACCAACCAAAAATTGGTACTCCAAAATCTTCAATCTTGAGATCTGTCTCAAGGGTTTTGAACTTTTCCTAACAGATTCTCTTTATTTTTAAAAGGGTTTAGATTTGCTAGTTTCAGTGAATTTTTATCAATTTTTTACATTTTAGTGAATAGGGTTTCCTAGATTTTGCTAAACTGTGATTTAAGGTAAATTTATTGAGTTTTCTTGTGCGCATCTATGATGAACTTTAAAGTTCCAGAAAACCAAATGGTGATCTTGATTTTATGGAAATAGTAATCGATATGAGACGAGTAGACTTTCGGGTTTTTTCAGGAACTTCACAGTGACGCAAAGGAGAGAGGGAGAGAGAGAGAGAATCAAATCATCTAGAAAAGAGATGAGAAAGCAAAAAGTGATGTGGCTTAATTTGACTACCATGTATACAGAGCAACTGTACTTTTTGGCCATGTGGCCATACTTAACAGAGGTAAAAGAATCTGTTGGTGCTTTTCCTTTATTGAATGAATTTGATGAGTTAAGTTCCTAAATTGATCCCAATAAAAAGTCATATCCTGAAATGCACATTGGGTGAAAGTTCAAATCCTAAATTAGGCATTTAGCCTAAATATTAATAGCATATGGATTGACATTTTGGCTGTTACTAGTTATTCTACCATTTGATTATCATGATATATAAAAGAGAATAAAATGTAATAAATTACTTTAAATCTAATAAAAGAGAAATTTTTCGTTTCCAATTATTATTATTCAATTTTATAGTCATCTGGAAGAGTTCAAAAAACTTTTCCTTACTGCAATGCCTGTGACTCATCATTTAACACCCACAACGGCCACAATTGTGTTAAGAGCTACATGGATGATTTTGCAGCTGCAACTAAAATTTCAAACTCTAACATACGTACATATAGGCATGCATGTATGTACCATTTATAAATATCGTATCTCACCTGCTTACGGTAGTTTCGGCCTCTACTGTTCTTGTAATACATTAACAGAAAACACTTTAAAACCATTGCTTCCTGTCGAACCAAAGTATCTGAAAGAAGCAAATATTGTGATACTGTAATAAGGAATAGTGCAAAATAATCCACAATAAAAATGGGAAAACAAGCATCAAGAACAGAAGGGCAACGGAAAGTGGGGGAGCAGCACATGTATGCATGCACAGGGAAGGATTTCCAATTATGGTAGTTAATCTATGAATTATCACTAACTTCAGATACAGAGGATATCACTAAAAGTGCTCAGCTAGGAGGTCAGTAAGCAGCAATTTACAACTGACCCATGACTAATCCAAACAACAAATGTATATGGGCAGACAAAGCAATAAAGAAATTTAAAAAAAAAATCTGTTTTCGTTTTTCATGCAAGAAGAAAATTTAGTGAAACATATTCCACTTATAAAAAGAAAAAAGGATCAGGGAAAAAGGTAAAAACAACGAATGAAAAAAATACTATGCTTATTTCTGCCCTTTATTTTCTCAGAAAAAGGAGAAAAGATTGCCACTAAAAATTGTACACTTCCCTACCCTGGAAAGATGCACCAGCAATAGACATCATATCAACACATAAGGCTGCACAACCATCTCCATAAAATGTTTCTTTGCGAATGCAAGAAAATATAAATTGCATTTCAGTTGATAAAGATATTAGTGGCAATCAACCCACCATTAACCATGATAATAAAAATAGCATGCCAGAAAGGTGGAATAGATTTGGGGGGAAGCATCACTAATGGATACAAAAGATCATCATTCCAGTACCACCAGTAGACAGCTATAACATGAAGTGTGAAAGCAAGAGAGATGCCAATCAGAACAGAGATCTTCCTTTCCCCCTGCAGCCACCAAGAGAAGGCATTAGAGACGGTAGAAGAAAACTTTTAACTCCTGATTTGTGAAAGAACATAGGTTCATAGAGAAATGCTGAACACTGAAGTTTACATCACCTTCAAAGCAGTTTGTTTCCGTAAAATGTCATTTGACTTGAACATGACAGCAGCAATCCAAATTGTAACAAAGAAACCTGTTAATCTTTGCAGAAAGCCAAACGTTATTAACTTGAAAAGAACAGTGGTTCAGTTTGGGAAGGCAGAATTAGTGTATAACTCTGAAAAAAAGTTTCATTTTAAGCTTGCAGCAGGGGTAACACAAGAATATACATAAGCCTGAGTGTAATCAGTTCCTCACTCACACATCTATCCCATCATTTATTAGTTAGGCAATGCAAGTTCAAATCAGAAATTATTACAAAGGCATCTTTTAAAAGTAGAGTTTTCCAATTTAAAAAAAAAAAAGTTGTGTTTTCCATTCTCATACAAAAACAAATAAAATATAAACTTCAGAAACATTAACAAAAAACCAGTTTCTAAACTACCTATCTGAAGATAGATGTCAGACACCTATAGAAACAAATGATTGAGCTCATGAACACAAAGTTAGAGTAGAACTCTAATGTCAACCTCAAAAGCAAATTATTTTATGTCAAGCAAGAATGAGCAAGAAGAACAACACAACTCCATAGAAAGAGCATTCAGAGCATACAAAGAATGAATTACACAAGTGAGAAGTGGCGTGAAAGGTGGAAGGCACACTCTGTGCTAGGATCCCTCCATTGCTCAATGAACAAGGTGCAAAACAAGCTCTTCCCCAATAAAGGCATTAATTTCTAAAAAATAACTAATATACGGATAAAAAAATGATTAAACTAAATGACTGTATTGGAAAATATTAAAGAGTTTGCTTCATCACATAGCCTGATGTGTTGCAAAGATAAAGCTTTGTCATAATTAACTAGATGTCATCATCACAACACTAGTTCAATCATTTTCAACAAAAAGTTGAGCATGGATTAAATTTCCTATCTTTTTATCCTTCCAAAGCGAGTTGGTTTTGTACATTTTTCACTATTGTTGGTAAAGTTACTAAAAGAAATTAAACGGATCCAAAAGGAACACTTCAATCAGCACACGCATTTTATATGCCTTTCACCTTAAAGAGGTACGGTTTAGGTGCAAAAGGGGTGCAACTGAACAATTGTGCCCTCCTTGAAGGGTTGTAAAGTGATTTAGTTGAATTTTACTGCACCTGGGAATCCCAGAGAACACTAATAAGCTTTTCATCATGTACACTCATTCAATACTAGATGAAAAACACTAAAAGCTGCTCAGAACTAAAGCCATATCGATCAACTATTTCTCAGGAGGAACTCTCTTCATGCTAGGTTTATCACATTTGCATATTAGTATTATATTTGGGGGGAAAACTACTGAAATTACTCAGAAGCATAGAAGTAAACCATGCACCTAAAATCAAAATTACAGTAAAGGCCAAGTCCAATGAATGTTTGCTAAATGCATCTATGCACCGACCATCGTCTATTCTCAAATATCAAATTATCAACATGCTGATGCTGAATTTTAACAGCTAAACTAAAATCCATGGTTGCAATTGTAGGAGAATACAGAAAAGCACATAAACTGAGATGAATCACCTTGCAAATGTTGGCGGATAAAAACAACTAAGAGAAGCAAAGAGAAGGGCAGAACTTGCTCAATCCACCTAGCAGCCTGCTGAATGTCATATCTTGATAGGAGGAATCTCTGCTATTATTAACTCCAGCCCCACCCCCATCCCCAGCTTCGGCATCAGCAGCACCAACACTCCCATTTGGCGATGACTGGGAAACACCTTCTCCAGTAGCCACCCCGCGATCACTGCTCCTGGAATCTCCTCCCTGACCATCGGACGTTCCCAACCCCAGCGAGACCTCACTCTGAGAAGTAACTTCCCTGAGGTGGCCAACCACCATACCAGAGGCATCCCTCTCGCTCTCATGGTCTCCCGCCCCAATTATCCTAATAGCACCTCTCCATTGTTGGCAAGGGTAGGAGTGGAAGTTTCTAGATTCTGATTGGGGATGAGAGGTCGGTTCTTGGTGAATAGAGCGTGATGTACGGAGAAGACCTGAGTATTCCAACAAGGCTGAAATGGGCGCTTGAATTATATTCGAAGCAGAAAGAATTCCATATCTTCTCGAATTCGTGGAACCACCTCTGTAAGCGTCCGGATTAGTATTTGACGCTTCCATTTGCGTCAATGATGCTGATGCCGTTGCCCTAACCCTAACCATCATATAATCATCTCAGTCAGAACTTCTAATTTTACTTTTCCGATTTAATTCTTGCCTGTTTCCTTGTAAACCAAGAAAACCCAAAAAAAATCTTTATTTAAAACAAATAAATCAGCATACCTTCGACAGCGAAACTCCGTGGAGAAAAATTTCGTCAAGAAAACTAAAAAATCATCCAATAAGAAAAGAAGAAACGTATCCTAACCCTAGAAGACGTTTTCCCTATCGTCGGAGTCAAGAGAGTAGGGAAAAGTCAAGAAAGGAAGCGAAGTGATTTGACTGAATCGGAATGGAATTGGGAGAAACGCCAGCGCAGGCTCAATCGAGGTTGCTGGGACGATCAACCAGTCTTTCGATCGTTGAACGAAAGAGGGGAAAGTGGAAACGCAGAGATAGGAGGAAAAAAACAAAGAGTGATCGACGAATGGTTTCCTTTGATTTGCCTCCTTTTCTTTTCCCCTTCTTGATTTCCTCTCTTTCTTTCTTTCTACCTTTCTCGCTCTCGCGAGGGCAGACAGGGATAAAAGTAAAACGAGAAAAAATTAGTCAACTTGTGTTTATTACAATGCCCGATAATTTTCTTTATTTCTTTAAAATATAGTATTTTCTTCTAGTTTTTTTTTTAAATAAAATTTGTTAGTATTTAAATGATCAAGTTCTGTATTTAATCTTTACATTTTATCAAAATATTAATATAATTCGTATAATAAATCAATTTTTTTCTATTAAAGTTGCTGATGTGATATTAAATAGGCCAACTTGGGTATTTAATTTGGTTGGGGTAGAATTAATGAAAGGTAATATGATATTAATTTGTATTGACTCGACATTTCTTAATTAATAAAAGAAATTGGAAACTTTCCTCATTTTCTCTCCTCTCTTGCTCTCACTAGATCAATGACGACCTCCTCTTCTCTCTTTAAATCCAAAATCCGATGATCGCCATTTGACACCAAAATTCATTGTCAACCACCTCCAGTGTGGTGTAGCAGGTTCCAAGAAAGGCTGATAATCATAAGAAATTTAATTTAATGGTGATCGACCTTCTTGATCAACACTTGATGTTTGGACTATACTACAAGGAATAACTCATCCTGGTTCAGATGTGGTCACAAATCACCATAGGAAGAAAATGCTTTCAATTTATATGTTTACAGTCAATTTTATTCTTACACTCAGTCACCATCATAGAAATCAAGTATTTTTTTTTTTAACAGACAATGAGCTTTTGAACCAAATGCCGAGATAAATTGAAAATAAAAAAAAATTTCCTTTCCAAATATTTGGAAAATGGATTAGTTTTAAGAGTTTTCTTTATTATAATCATTTTTGTTGTGTTAGCATTAATCAGCGTTACCCCATCATGATGATCAATTTCATCTTAATCTGTCAAATGCAATGTCAGAAACTTTTACCAAAAAATTTTAATGATTTTAATGATTGGATTAATATTAATAAATATTAAAAGTATTAGAACTTGATTTTTATAAATTATAATAAATGGATTAAATTTAATATTTAATAAAGTACAAAGACTAAACACTAAATTTGACATATTCAAATTATTTTCTTTGTGCAGATCGAAGTGCTATTTCATGGGGTTGAGTTGTTCACACCATGTATTTGCCGACTATGATGATTAATATATACTTTCGAAGGTAATTTCATTATTTTATTTTTTTTATTTTAAATTATATTATGATAATTTTTAAAAATCAAATTTTTATGTATTTATTTTTTGAATTGATTTTTAATAAAAATATAAAAATTAAATTTGTCAACATAAAAATAAAATAATTAATTTTGTGGAATTAGAATAATAAAATCAACTAATATTTAAAATTTAAACCCTCATGAGCTAGCTATGGCGTTGTTGTGTTGATAAATGTTTAACATTATACAGAAGCGTTTCCAAAGGCCCATTAATTTTGTGGGGCAAAACTCAAAGAATATTGCTCTGGGCGCCATTTAAGCCCAAATACCGGCCAGCCCAATGAATTTTAAATCCAACTGAGATAAAGCCCATTACAAAACAAAGCTTTTTATTTTAGGGGATAAAATGTTTACTCAAGGTTTTTTTCTTTTCTTTACTTTCTCCCAAATTAAGAAGTTTCCGAATAGTAAAAAATTTATAAATTAACATTTGATAAATTAATAATTTTGATCAAATAATATTGTTATCAATTTCAACTTAAAATTAATATGATAAATTAATAATTCGTTAAATTTATAAGATAATATATTTAAAAAGAAACACATAGATCTCATTTAATATATAAATTAATAATCTCCTTATACATAAAAAATATATATATATATGTATATATACATGACTCAATCATGAGGTTTTTGTAAAATATAATTCCAATGTTATTTGTTTCTTCTTAAAATTAATGTCTTTTTGTACCTTATCTCTAACTTTTCTTAATACTTTAAGAAGTTTTGGTGTAATTTTTTCATATTGTAAGAGAAAATTATATAATGTGGTCATTACTTTGAATTATATTTGCACCAGACAAACTCTAGTGCAGAACTATTATTTTCAACCTTATATTCTTTGTCATTTCCCATAATGTTCTTATAATTTGCTTGTCACGAATAATGATAATTCGTAATTTGATAATTAGGTAATATTCGTATAATCACAATACACAACACATATATCAAATTTAATGTTTTAACAAAAGAATCTTGATGAATTAATTTTTTATCAATTAATATAAAAATTATTAAATTATCAATTAAATAATATCTCGACTAATTAATAAATTTCATGTTCTTATAATGTTGTAAACGAACAATGAACATAGTACTAATTGTTCTTCTTCTAATAGTTATGTCTTATGAGCCAATATTTATTGGCTCATAAGACATAACTATTAGAAGAAGAACAATTAGTATGGATAATGTTTGATAATATGCCAAACAAAGTTAAACAAGTCATTTTGTAAGATGTGAACCAACTGTAACTATTTGCTATTAAACTAAGAGAAAGGAGTCTATTGTTATGTAATAGAGAGCATGTTGGGAAGGTACTTCTTTTCCTCCTCATGAATTTTGTCTCATTGGATTTTTCCATGAAAAATATTTTAACGAGACTTTTCCTTTATGCTAGGGGCAGTATTGTGATTATCATATGAGGGGCTCTAATATATTTAATTTTTGTTAAATCATATTGTAATACATGTTACGGTGATGATTAATGAAATTCATTTTTTCTTGAAACAAAAAACAAAGGGAGTACAATTAAAAGTTGTAAAGTTAATTGGCTCAATTCTTTGTTTTGTTAATAACTCTACGAGAAGAAAGTTCATAACCAAAACAACGATAGAGGTATGAATCAAAATGGGATAATTGTTTTAGATACTTATTATGTATAGAAATAATTTAGGTAGTTGGACGTCGCTTTTTTCTATTTATGAAATAGTTTGCAGAATTTTTCGACCTAAATATAGAAAGAAATCATATAATGCCAAAGAAAAGGCTGATGTATCTGTCCTGCATTAGCCCACATGTCCTGCTCACCGACGGTGTCACCGGAACTTGATTGCTTGGGCATCTTTCATGGCGCGTGACCATCACTGCTTTTTCCCGGGGGGAAATCGCCCATTTCTCTGAGGTGGCAATTTCTCTGAGCATTTTATAGATTTATTTACCCTTATTTTTAATACGGTTAAGAACCTCCGGACTTTTATTGAATTTAATTTTTTTTAGCAAGATTTTAAAGGGGTATTCTTTCTCATCCGATTCACAAGAAAACGGACTTCCCTTTCTATCAACCTGATTAATCCGTACAGGTATTTGAAATATTTTATTTATTTATTATTAATAAAAAATATTTATTTATTTGTTTATTTATTAGAGGGGGCGTGGATAAAAACACTAAGGCCAAGGCCCAAGTTCACAGTCCTCGACTTGTCTGCTTAGGTTTACCTGTAGTTGAACTTTTAATTTATTATTTAAAAATAATATGTCATAATTTTTTTGAATTATTTAAAAATTTTTATTTTTTTATCATGTTTAATTAAAATTTTATATTTTTGTATTTAGTCAAAAATCATTACAATTAATTATTAATTATTATTAATTAAAATATCAATTAATATTTTATATTTAAATGATATTAATATGAAAAGTGTTATTATGTTACATCAACATATTATGTTAAAATATTAAGTAATAAAAAATAAAAAATAATATTTTAATTAATAATAATTAATCAACTATTAATCATAATAATATATTTAGTTAAAAATAAAATATAAAAATTTGATTGAATGTAATAAATAATAATTTATTTTAAATTTTTTAAAATAATTTAAATATTTTTTTAAAAATTATGTTTATTATTTATTAAGATGTTGTTAAATAGAGGCCTTTAGGGAGAAAAAAAGAAATTTTAATGTAAAGTGTTATAAGATGTAAAAAACTAATAATTGATAGTTCTTTTTTTAATTTAATTAATTATAAATAATATAAGACTAGATTTTATTGGATCAAATTATTATTTTAGAGTAAAATAAATAAATAGAATAAACTAACGTTTTCATTAATTGAAAATAAAAAATAAAAAAAGAAAAAATGAAATCAAGTGAAAGAATTGAACCATATAAAAAAGAACTATTGTGAAACAATACAGGTCTCTTTATAATTTTAAATATATATATATTACGGAGTAAATTTTTCGAAAAAATTAATCTAGTTGTTTTTTAATTTCGGCCAAAAGCATATATTAATCGTTTATCAAAAGAAAAAAGTAAGCAAAATTGGAGAAAATGAGTGAGACGCATGAATTTGCGCGCGGGGGTGTAGTTGGGAGGAACAGCTAGGTCTGCATGTGCTGTACCTGTCAAGTGATGTAGCCTCATGTGTCACTTGTCCATTTGTAATTGGGAAAAGACAGAGAAGAAAAAGGGACATCTCTACTGACTACTACAGTACAACTCCTCCTGAATTCAAAACCCCAACGGAGCTATCCTTGTTCTTCTACTTCTATGATTATTCTTTTATAATCTATATCTATAAATATTCTACAGACAACTCATTGGGCTTTTCGTATACTGTTTCTTTTCAATATTTTAATTTTTTTTAGTATTTATTTATCGAAGACTCTGCAATGGAGAGAGATTTTCTGGGTTTGAAAAAGAAAGAGATTACCAGCAATAATATATTCAATGAGTCGGGTAAATTACCTTTCTCTTGAATTATTTCTTTTGCATAAAAAAACGTTGAGATATATCGAATTCTTATTCCACTCATTTCCTGATTAATTAATTTCATATTGTAATGTTTATGTATTTTTTTATTTTATCTATATAGTATTGGTTCTCTTTTTTACCTCTTTTCGCCGCGTCTTGCGTTCAGCTCTCATAAAGAAAGAACACGTTTGAATTTCCAAAACTACGGCGGTCTAGGAGGAAGAACTTATTCTACTTTTGGTTCTAATATCATCAATTGAAACTTAAACCAGGATTAAAGAACTAGCTAGCTACGTTACATAAAGCTTTTTCTTCTTCTTCTTCTTCTTCTTCTTTCGAGTTTTGAGGCATTAATACTGGACAGTTGGCGGCATGCAACGGTGGTGGTCGGAAGACTCTTCTACGTCCCAATTTCAGCCTTTCGGAGCTACTCAAGACAATATGCGAGACACCCTCACTTCTCCGGTCTATGCTTTTGATTTTACTTATAACCCTCTATCTACTTTGCCTAAGGTATCCAATTAATTATCACAAGACTTTTAATTAGATCAGGCGTTTCACAAAATAAATAAATAAATAAATATATAATTAAACCTTACACATATATGTTAATAAATCTTTCTTTAATTAATTTCTATTTATATATATCTATATGTTGCAATTTGATTTGGCAGAGGAGCTTCAATAGTACTACGCCATGGAAATTCCCTTTTCAGGAAGAAACAATTCCGACCAGTATGCAGTTTCTTGGAGGGTTTCCATTTGCGGAACGGTCTGCGACATCAAGTCCAACTGACCCAAGGTGTCCAATTAAATACTTAAAATCACATATAGCTGCTTCTGGTGATTGCTTTTGGTACTAATATTTGATTTGAAGAGAAAACAAATTAACATAACGAGAGGATATTGGGAGAAAAAAACTGAGATTAAAGTGTGTAACCGGCCTATTATTATGAGTATAAGCTAGCTGCATTTTAACACTTCACACATCTGCAGGAACAAATCCAAGCAAGTAGAGGCAGCTGATGATCGGTTAATTATCGTTTACGACAATAAAGTCCATGTCTTTGAGGATATTTCGCCAAATAAGGTCGACCTCCCTGATGGGTTAACGCAAATTTTCTTGTGTATTCTTCCTCTCTATAGCTTTTACATGAAAAATGATTTCCTTTTTTATATTACAAATTGGTGCAGGCTGAGGCCATCCTGCGTTTGGCCAGAGATGAGCACTACTCTTTCCTGACGGTCGATGATGATCGGAAACAAGTAGTACTGCCGGAGCAAACAACGCTGGACCTTCTCTGTAGGACCAGCAATAGCAACCAACATGCACTTGACCCTCCTTCAATCATCAATTCCTCAACAGAATCTGCCTCGTACACTTATTCAGCAATAAGTAATTAGAAATTATATTTGATACTACTCGTTTTCATCCTTAATTGGGTCATTTGGTGTGAGTTTTCTTACTTTTTTTTTTTTTAATTTTTTGCGGTGCAGCTCTGCCACTGGCTCGGAAAGCAACCTTGGAACATTTTCTGGAGAAGCGCAAGGACCGGTTTGTTTTACCAACTTTTTAATTGTTCCCCAAATGCATATACGAAATCACTTTAACCAAAAAGGAAGAAAATGAAAGCATACTTCAACTCCAATCTCTGTCTGAACATTCAGCAGGTGAAAATGATGGACAGATTTGAGTTTCCTTATCGAAGCTTGCCTTGTCAATTATTTTACCTTCATTTTTCATTATGTAATTTCTCATTACTTATCTTCAGCCATATTTGACTTTTGCAGATTGACCAACGGTATGTTTTACAAGTTCATGAAGACGGTGCTCTACAGTCCCGAGTTGCTGAAATGAAATTCCTTCACTAGAGAAAACAAAGCTAGATGCTGTTTATGTTACAGCTATCCAGCCCAATAATGTCACATTCTTTGTTAATTTTCTCATGCATTTATGATATACTCTTAATTCTTTGTTATTGTTCAGTTTAATCTATGGGCAAATGTATATTTTCTTTTGTTGTGTGATCGAAATTTTAATTATTTAATGTTGTTTTTAACAATGAATTACTAGACAAGGAAAATAAATGGAAAGTCTCACAGCCTGTTTGTTGTATTCCTATCATGTTATACTACACTCCAAGCACAACGTAATTAAGGATAAGTGTAAACAAATTCAACAAACAAGTAAGCTAAACCTGAATTTAAACACACACACACACATATATATAAAAGGTAATAGCTAAACAAAATGATTAAATACATAAATGAGTAGAACTTCTATTCTAGTAATTAGTTAATTAATTAACTAAAATAAATAGCTACAAAAATAATTAAGTAAATAAACATTAATTTTTCATTTCAAGAATAATATTAGTAAATATAATATTATTCTGATATAAAAATAATTATTTTGTAAATATATAATAAATTATATAAATAAATAGATACACCATTATAAATGAATAAAGAAATCCATAGACAAGAATAGATTTATATAATCATATAAATAAATACCTAAATATATAATCAATTCATTTAGTAAACAGATAAATACAAAAATAAAAGATACAAGCATGATTAAATATGTAAAATAGAAAATATATAAATACATAAATAATTATACTTTGGTAAGTTCCAAAATGTGTAATATATGATTATTACATTAAACAATAGTTATTATTTGATATAAGAATAATAAAGATTAAATTTGTTATTCGCTATATCTTTTACTTCCCAAAAATGGTCTTAAGTCACAACCTCTGTAAATTATATGATCAAGACTAACATGTTAGTTTTAAGAAACCTGCATGTTATCAAAATGCAGCACAAGGGCACAGACCTTATTATTTAGGAGTAAAACTGGCAAAAGCCAGACTTGCAAATCAACAAACAATACAAATAATCTCAAGTCCCAGTTTCATTTGGATTTGAATCTGGATCATCAGGAGAAACTAATCGATTACACAGCTAATGAACTTAAATGGGAGGGACTGCAAGCACATAGCCTACATCAATTGTTCCAATGCTCTACATCATGCTTGTTTGGAGTGTGACCAAAAACTGGGCCTAAATCCTTCCAGCAGTTTATAAAACACTTATTTGGAGCACAAATATCATAAATTGAAGGAAATTCTGCAGGAAAGATTTACCAGAGTTTCTGCTTGTAGATGCAGGGCGTTTCCTTCCATCATTTCGCAATGGGGCAAAACAGCAGAATATTGCACCACTGATTATTTTGCAGTTCTTGAGTGCTTGATTAGCCAATCAATGACAACATCTATATTTACAGAATCTTTGCATGAAATCATATAGCAGCACACCTCTCTATCAGTGACCGATTCAAGACCTCTGAGAAATAAAAATTAACAAAACATTAAAGCTAGAAATTTTGCCAAGACAAATCATCAATGAAGAGAAGACAAAGACAACTTCTAGCAAAGCTTCAATAGCTTACAGCTGATCCACCAAAGCTTGCTTTGAAAGAGCTTCTGACTTATCAATTTTGTTGCCAAGAACAAGCAAAGGAATTCCACTTAAGGAAGGTTTTGTCAAGAGATCATGTAACTCAGTTCGGGATATGGGAACGCCGTCTCTATCAGCAGCATCAACTACGTATCTGCCATTTAAATAAAAAAAAAGGAACATTAAATACATCAGAAAAGTAGCCAATAAAATGTGAAGGACTGCTGGTTCCACCTCGATACAACATAACATGAATTTACTAACATTAAACCTAATTATAGAAATTTTAAATGTATTTAATATACCCTGATAAAATTCTGATTTTGTTTTCTTTCTATCTTCTTGGTTACATGAAAGAGAAAGAAGTTTTCAGTTTTCTATTTCACTGAAACAGAAATAAGACAAGTGTCACATGTGAACTGTATGAAGAATGCAATACTTGAAACTTAACATGCTCCTTTGATTATATCAGCAAGGCCTGCCATCAGTAGTGGTTGAAAGATAAAGAATAAAAAATAAACATATGTCAATGAGAAGTCACTTTCATCTTGTCCCCAACAAGAGCTGTGAGTGTTCACTACTCAAATAAAAATTTGATAAAAATTTTTTGTTCAGCTATCATGGTAGGAAGAGTCAAAATAGATTGTATCAAGAAGACGTTCTAAAGTTTTTCCACAGATATAATTCCTAGTTATGAGCTAAAATAAGCTTTCAACTAAAATGTGCACCATAAAAACATGAATCCAGCGAAGTTACTGCAATGAAGAACAGGAATATGCTTAATAAACTATCAGGCCACTTTTGAAGTCTGTATTGATTCCAAAACATGAAAAGTCACAACAGCACACACAGTAACAGATGTTTGCTTCTGACCAAATATGAGATCATCCTGAGCAGCAAATACAGATGTCAAAAGTTGATGGATATATGATAAACATAGTAGATTAAGTGACTGAGAAGCATTACACAATAGCAGAGACACCACGACAGTAGCGCTCCCACATGGTACGAAACCTCCGTTGCCCTCCAAGGTCCCATAGTTTTATTGTCACATTACCCTTTGTAACTTTTCTCATATTAAATCCAACCTGGATTCCACATTTGAAGTATTTAATTTAAGACGTTTTCTAGGAGAATCATAACAAGTGATTTGTCCAAGGAAAAGACACCTACAGTTGGAATCATGTCTTCACTATAGCCCCCTGTCTGGTAAACATTAAAAAGTAAAGTTGAGATAAAGCCACTAAGAATACCAATTATATCAGCAGGAAAAGAAAATAAAAGAAAACAAATATTCAGTGTCACTCACTGCAATGGCATTAACAAGAGAAGTTTTTCCTGCATTCTGCAGGCCAACAAGGGATAGCTCCATTTCCTGCTTAAAGAATAAGCTGCCAGGCAAATACTCAGTAAGAAGCACAGAAGCACTTCAAAACAAATCTTCACACCAATAATTACCTCTAAGCAAACTAAACAATGAAAATTGGTGTTTGTTTTCTAAAATGATTTCACAAATTCAAAGCATGAATGAGAATAGAAAGTTCGATGGCATGGCCTACCCAGGCATTACAGAATCAAAAAATAGAAGAAGATAAGGGAGCTAATGACTATCATAACTCAAAGCAATAGAAGATACACCATTTTTTGGTCAAGACTAAAAAAGAAACCTTTAGTGCCATACATTTTCTACATTTGCATTAACTTTGTTGTCTGATAATTGCAAAACAAGCTGCTGCAGAGAAAGTCAAACCACATATTAATCTTGGTCACAAATGCCTATAGCGTCTAGCCATACCCATTTTGCAGAAACCATTTTCAGTTTACCATTTATTACTTCACAGACACCTATAATATTAGTAAAACCTTACTAATATAAAAGCAAAATGTGACACAAGAATTAAACACTGTAACTATGCCCACTAAGACTCCACCACCTTGACTCTCTTTGACTTAAAGGGCCTATCACACCTCTATAACAATAAATCCTCACTGAAGAGGGTCGAGGGGGAGTCTCACAATTTTAATACCTCTACTTTTCCCCAATATAACATCTACCTTAAGTCCAAAGTATGAGATATAAAGTTTTCCAGAATCCACCCTAAGTTCCCCGCAGAAACGCTGACGAAAACACCTTAGCCCGTCAAACTATAACCCATCCTTACATGGTCGTACATAATTAATTTTGATATTTCTACTGATTTTCCTTAATAAATTAATCGAATATAAATTAAACCATATAACTCATACATAGTACGCTACTAAAATAAATTACAAGTTATATATTATTCATTTTTCACTAGCTAAAGGTTTCCAGAATGTAACAATTTCCCAAATCGTTTTTCCTGATAATTTCTAATCACGTGCCATGACTATTGAACTTGAATATCTTTTCAAACGCTAAGATTAAAACAACTAACTCATAATTGCTACATTGTTTTTTTTTTTTCATATTTAAGCGAACTAATTAAAAATTATTATATGAGAGAGCTGAACGCCAAAGGTAAACTAAAATCCAAGAGAAAAGGAGAGGGAAATTACCTGCGGAGCCAATTGAGAAGAGAATCCCACAAACCCATTAGAGAGAATTGGAGCTATTGGCGTTTGCAGGCGAAGAGAGATAGAGAAATAGAGAAGGAGAAGCTCCACAAGGAAGCAAGCGAGAAGGGAAGAAAGGTAGCCCAGGAAACTTCGCCAAGCAAAAGGTATCTGGGTTTGTCTCTACTCTTGGATGTTCTGTCGGTTTTCTCTTGTTTTTGTCTTCGTAACTGCTGTCCAAAGTGACACCGAGATTGGGTTAGCCGTCTAGGCTGTGTGTTTGGCCCGATTCAGATCGGATCGGGGAATGTGTTTTACGTCCAAGTCTAATCTGGTTATATTATTATAACTAATAAATAACATATTATATTTAAAATAAAATATTATTTATTTTTAATAATAAAATAATAATTAAATGAGCCCGTTGAGTCGAATTTGAGTTTCACTTGTAAAAATGGAGGTACGATAGGTTTGTTTCAAACTAATTAATTGTAAAAAAAAAAAAATCACACCACGAA